AACAACAACAACAACAACAACGACAACAACAACGACGACAACAACAACAACAACGACAACGACGACAACAACAACGACGACAACAACAACAACGACAATGACGACAACAACAACAACAACGACGACAACAACGACAACAACAACGACAACAATGACAACAACAACGACAACGACAACGATGACAATCTGAACCTGATCACGGTCTCTGGAGGGTTTGGTTTCCTGAGTTTTAAGGACATTGACTATGGGACAGTGTAGGTAAAAGGACAAACTTGATTTAAACACACACACACACACACACACACACACACCTATAGGAACATAAATACACACATGAGCAGAGGTGACCACTTGGCAGCAGCTGTGAAAATCCTATCTGCCATTTACACTAATCTGGGCTGCACACACACACACACACACACACACACACACACACGCTAGCATACTTTAAAAAGCCCGGCAGCAGTGTGTGTGTGTGTGTGTTTGTGTGTGTGTGTGTGTGTGACATGAACAAAGTTTCAGGTTAACCGCCTCATATTTCATTACAAATGCACTCCAGTCGCAGAGACCGGTCCGTGTGTGTGTGTGTGTGTGTGTGGGTGTGTGGGTGTGTGTGTGTGGGGGTGTGTGTGTGTGTGTGTGGCTACTGTAGGTAATGACAGCTACGCAGTGCAACCATGAAGCAGCTGAGCGTTGTGTTACAGACAATAACAGAGTGACCTGCAGAGGTTGGTGCCCACGATATAGACAAAACACACACACACACACACACACACACACACACTAAAACACACCAACTTTGTTCCTCCTGTTACTGATTCGACACACTATAACGTTATGTTTTAATGTCTTGATTCCATATGTTTTTTTTTTGTTCTTCTTTTTTTTTTCACCCAAAAATCTCTTCTGGAGCTTCAAACCAAAGGCCATGACTGTTCAAGTAAACAGTAAAAAGAAATTCTTGTTACAACTGACCATCAACTGACCATCAACTGACCATCAACTGACCATCAACAGTTCCATCAACTGACCATCAACAGTTCCATCAACTGACCATCAACTGACCATCAACTGACCATCAACAGTTCCATCAACAGTTCCATCAACAGTTCCATCAACAGTTCCATCAACTGACCATCAACTGACCATCAACAGTTCCATCAACTGACCATCAACAGTTCCATCAACTGACCATCAACTGACCATCAACTGACCATCAACAGTTCCATCAACAGTTCCATCAACAGTTCCATCAACTGACCATCAACTGACCATCAAATGTTCCATCAACAGTTCCATCAACTGACCATCAACAGTTCCATCAACTGACCATCAACTGACCATCAACTGACCATCAACTGACCATCAACAGTTCCATCAACAGTTCCATCAACAGTTCCATCAACTAGAGTACTAGGAAAGTACTGCAGGAATCACCGGCCTCCATACTTATCACACATTAACGTTGACTTCCTAATGCGAAAAAAAAAATTGCTCAGAACTAAGTTTGTAGGACGTCCCAGCTCAGGACACAGCTGTCAGGGATCGATGTCTCGCCCCGGGACAAATTTAAATTTCCACCCAGCTGAGGTGACGTCTGTAAAACCACCTGAAAATCGAGAACGTTGTCTCGTCACATTGTTTCAGTCCCAGCTGGAACCTGTGGCTCGTTTCACTTCACCCTGAAAGTGTCAACCCAAGATGTTTGACCTCCAAAAACCAAAAGACGTGATGACAGTGATGACGATCGCTGCCGACACACACACACAGACACACCTAAACCTGAGGGCAGCATTCCTTCAGCTGCAGCCCTCAGATGTGCCAACAGGCCACGTCTTGTTTAACTGGGCTTTATTAGGAGTAGCGCTAAACACACACACACACACACACACACACACACATCTTTGCAGACGTGCGGAGCTAAAGTGTAGAAGTGGGAGAATCAACTCACAGCTTTAAGTCCAAAAACAGAAATGTCCTAAATGTAGGCAATTTTTGATGACGTCAAAAACGTTCCACCCTGCCTTGTAAATGTGGGTCACATCCACTTTTCTGGTCCAGATGTAAGTTAAGGTGTGCAACGTTATGGCCACATACATAATATAACTGCAAAATACAAAATGAAGTCGGAAAATTTCCTGGAGGAAAAACAAAAACTTCACAAACGCTCACCTTTAACTGCTTTCCCCTGGTGGTTCTTTGGTGGTGTTGCAGCCGCCTCCAAGCCTTTTCCAACAGACAGAGACATAGGCAGGTGAGGTGGAGGAGGAAGAGGAGGAGGAGGAGGTGGTGGTGGTGGTGGTGGTGGTAGTAGCGGCGGTGGAGGCGCAGGAGCTGGGAGTTCAGGGAGGGGAGGGGTGGGCTCAGGTCCAACTGTCTCCTGGTCTCCTCGTACCGTGCCGGGCCCCGATCCAGATGTTGTGCTGCATTCTCTCATCTGGCTCTGGAGGTCAGAGGTGAGGCATGAGGTGAGGCAGGTTTGGTGACCACAAGGTGGTGCAATTCAGACAGAGACGTTTATGATTACCGTATTTTTCCGGACTATAAGTCGCACTATTTTTCATCCTTTGGCTGGGTTTATATATTAAAATATATAATTTGTCATGTTTGTTATTTTAATAATGACAGCCACTAGAGGGCAATCTAGCTGGCTGATGTCGCTTATATTCCGGAGCGACTTCTAGTCTGGAAAATACAGTAGTGTCAGAGATGAAACATCACCTGAGGATCAGAGTTCAACGTATAAAAAGTGTATTTATCATGTATTTAAAGGAAAATACATATTGACACAGAGCATTTAACCCATCAGTGCAACAATGCAGTGATTAACCCCGGCACATGGGGGCAGTGGGCTGCACTTTTTTAGTCCATCTGAAGAGCAGGGGAGTTTTTGTGCTTGATTAAAGCACGACAGTCACCACTAGAGCTGGGATTTGAACCAACGATCCTTCACCTCCTCAAAACAAGGACTTTATTCAGCGAGCGAATGCTTCAGTGACAGTGACTTCTGTGCAGTCTTTTCATACAACAATCATCCTCTTCTTCAGTCATTCTTCCCACTGCAACTGTTGTAAGTTTTCTGCCACTGCTGCGTGAAAAAAAACATTTACAAACTGGCTGAGGCTGTTTCCATGACTGGCACGGAGCTAAAACAAAGAGAGGAGAAGGATCTGGCAGCGGGAAGCGAACCAGTACTTAACCAAAGGCATGGCCTGAAAGAGCAGCAGTATTTATAGAGACATCCTCAAGGAGAGGTTTTCACTCGTCACAAGTTTCACTGTTGACTTAAAAACTCAGCTCTGACTGGTCCTCGTCCTCGTTCACTGGATCTTTGTCCGTACCAGGTTTTTTTTTTTACTCCTGTTTTTATTAGTTGTCATCTGTACAT